ACCACTGGGACCCACGTCGCGGGTAACCCATCACTACTGGATGCTAGTCCCTCGGGGCTCTTTTATCTGCCCAGCTGACCCAGCCTCCAGCCGCCATGCTTGCCCTGGGGCCCCTGGAATCTGTGTCGAAGTGTGCCCAGGAGCCGTTTCCCTCCCTCCTCTCCTCTTGCTGGATGGAAACGCGATTGTCCCCCATGGCACCCCCCCCCATCTCAGCTCACATCACCGTCTCTCTGGCCACCAGCCCAGGCCTCCCCAGCCTGCGCTCCTGAGAGCTGTTTCCAGGTCCTTCTCCCACTCCTGCCAACACCCCCACCCCACAACTCCCCCACCCTCCAGGTTGCTTGGGTCCCCCTCTTCCCCTCTCTCCCACGCCACCCTGTCACCCTTGGAGACTCCAAAACTGGCAGCCGGTGCCCCCATGCCTGGCCCTGACCTCCCTCTTCTCCCGAGGATGTCGCCTGGTGTTTTGGGTGCCACCCCCCTGGATGTTAAATGCTGGTTGTTAGGGCCTGAGATACAGCTCAGAGGTACAGCGCCTGCGTGGCAAGCGCGAAGTCATGAGTTTGATTTCTGCTACCAAATAAGCGCTGGTTATTACATGCTGAATAATTGTTGCGCCAATCAGTCCCGCCCAGGGCAGGGAATAGGGCTGAGCGCTGTTCTGGGGATCTGCAGCTCTGCCGCCCCAAGGCCCCGCCTGATCACACCTGGTCCCGCAGAGGGGAGGACAGAAGCAGCAGGTGTTTCCTGCGGGCTCCCCTCGCCCACTCTCCCCACGGCTCCCAGCAGGGTCACCTCACTCCAGGTCTGGCCTCCTGGGGCTGCCGGGCACCGAGCCGAGGGTCAGTTTCACAGACAGATCCACGAAAGGTCTGAGGGACGGACAGGTTAGAAACCTGCAGGCTCACAGCAGCTCTTCCTGCAGCGGGAAAGACAGGCAGCGTCTGGTGCGGCTCCCTGTGTCAAATCACGGCCAGACAGGGCCATCATTTAGCCTGTGACAGCCTCCTCATCAAAAGATCACACCAATAATTTCTAAAAACCAACCAATGATTTGGGCTTGTTAGGATAATTTGTGTATCATTTGCTCTTCCACTTTTAACTGGCTAGACTGTTTCTTAATATATACTTGCTGTGCGCGGAAAATAAAAGGGAATGTTCCAGCCCTGCCTCATTAGTTTGTATGACCTTTCGGGGTGCCGAACACATTGAATATCATCCCTCCCTCCACCTGAGCCACCCGCATTTCTGGTCTCAGCCTCGGGTTGGACTTACTGATAACCACGCACATGCGCACACACACGCATGCGCGCACACACACATCTACACGCACGCATGCGCCTTTCCCCCCCACTGACTGCCCCTCAGGCCCTGTCTCCCCGTGACCCAGCATCTTCACACTCACCCTGGACCCCACTCCTGGCTAAATGCCAACTGTCAACCACACTGCATCTGCACCCTGCTGGAGAAAACCCCGAATCCCAAAGGGGACCCGGAGCCAGCAATACACACACAGCATGTCACATGCCCTCTCCGGGCTCCTGGGGACATTTCACCTCATCGTCCTTCCTCATCGTCCAACCCTTCCGCCTCTCCTCTGAGGATGCTGCTTCCCACTTCACAGGGGAAATAACAGCAACCAGAAGGGACATGTCACAAGCTGTCCTGCCATGTCCACCCACAGGTGACACCTCTCTGTGCTTGTGCCCTGGACCTTGTTCCCTGTCACTTGGCTCTCACCTCTCTGTGGCCTGGCCCTTCTTCCCTTGCCACCAGAACATTCCCATGGTTGTCATCTCCCCTGACCCAAGCTGCCAAATGGGGGTGGACACTCCCTAGCAAGGTGGGGAGGGAGGTCACAAGGAGGCAGCAAAGGACGTGGGCAGCTCAGGCGGCAAGATCAGCCTGTGCAAAGATCCTGTGGTAGGAAAGGGCAGGATGTAAGAGAAGACCAAGAAGAATGGAGAAGGAAGAAGTAGGTGGGAGTGAGACAAAAGAGAGGGAGAGGGGCTGGGGATTTAGCTCAGCCGCATAAGCACCTGCCTTGCAAGCAGGCGGTCGTGAGTTCAATCCCTGGTACCGGTAAAAATGAAAAAGACAAAAAAAAAAAAAAAAAAAAAAAAAAAAGAGAGGGAGAGGGAGAGGGGGAGGGAGAGGGAGAGAGAGATTGGTCAAGGCCTCTTGAAAATGCTGAGCTTTGCCCTGAGAGCATTGGCTTGTGGCTGCACAATCAAATTTGCCTTTTCAGAGCATCTTTGTGATTACTCTATATGGAGGCAAAAGAGTGGGTGCAAAATGTCAGTGGGGAGCTGGTTTGGTGGAGGTGCTCCCACAGCAAGGCCAGGGCCAGGTGGAGAGGTGCTGTGAGGCCCCCACGGGCAGGACACAGCAAGGACAGCATGACAGTGAGGAGGAAGAGACGTGGGAGAGGATGGCCAGGCTCAGGCTCGCAGAGGGCACCCAAGCACAAAAGCTAAGCCAGGCTCGGAGCAGTGACTGTGAGTCCTGGGTGCCCAGCACAGAGCTCAGAGGAGTGGCACTGTGGCTCGGGACTCCACGTGGCCTCTCCACGCACGCGACTCCTGAAGCTCGCTTTGTACCAGAAGCCAGGATCCTAGCATGGCTGAGGCCCAGGCTCAGCCCCTGGCAGCCAGGCAGGGAAGCAGGTGTAGGTGTGGCCTTCCAGACGCAGCTGCCGCCCTTGACTGAGAGACCAGAGCAGCGCCACCTGCCAGCCGTGGGTTCCCAGGGGAGCTCTGTCCCCAATTTGTTAGGCACCTCGGGGCACTTTGGCAGGAAAGCGTCTCTAAGAGCCTCCTGGGCCCATTCCTTATAAAGACGCCTGGTTCCGAGGTGATTGAATTGAAGGAAAATGAAAGGGCTTTGCTAAGTGCTTTTCAACCACTCTGATTTGTCATTTTAACAATAGAGAGAGTTTTTTTTTATCTGCTTGGCAGCGACTTTCCAGATAGAGGAGAGAGAGGGAAATGCACGAGTGGGTAACAGGAATCGTGTGTCAGGGGTTGAGCCAGGCCTCCCATTTACACCCCCACGTGTAGGAGGTGGGAAAAAAATGCAGGAGCCCAAGGAGAATGAAAGACCAAAGCACTCAGTGATCAACCGCTCACTAGGTGCATCTGGACTCCGTAAACTTCAGGGCGGTAACCAGAAGTTCCAACACATGCTGGGAAGCTGTTTAAGAAGTCGGGAAAGTTGGTGAATTTGGTGCGGGGACAGTTTGTGTGTGAGTGGGGACCAGGGGTCCTCTTTCCAATGGGCACCACGTGACAGGAAGTACAGAAAGGACTCACTGCATTCATCCAGAATACAGGTTCTTCCCTGTAAGCTGGGTACAAGGGGCAGGTTAGATGTTCCTTACCCCAAATACTTGGGGCCGGAAGTTTGAAATCTCAGATTTTTTCTTTTGGATTTTAAAATATTTCAGATACATAATGAGACATTCTATGGGATGGGACCCAAGTCTAATGGTGAAACTCACTGCATTTCATATACATATAATCTGAAGGTGATTTGACACAACATTTTCACTGTGCCTGTTTTCACAGTGTTCCTGCACAGGTGGTCAAGGTGAAATTTTCTATTTGTCGTGTCACACTGGTGCTCAAAATGTTTTGGATTTTGGAATGTTTAGGCTTTTGAATGTTTGAATTAGAGATATTCAGCCTACGTAGTGTATGTGTGTGTGTGTGTGTGTGTGTGATGATGCTTTTGATGCTTTACAATTCCTACTTATGATATCGATGGTCCATCATAAAACCACTTCCTACTTAGGAGGGGTGGAACCTCAGGACTCTACAAGAAAATAAATGGCAAACAGATGCGGGGGATTGCCTCAGTTAGGTGACAGGAGCCAGGGTTGTAGAAAACCCCCCACTGTCTGTGACTGAACACAGACTGAGTTCATCTCCCTCTTACCCCAGAGCCCCCAAGGACCGAGTGCACCTGGTGCCATTCTGAGCACTAGATGCTCAGATTCCTCAGATGGGAAGACTGAGTCAGCTCAAGAAAGCTGGGCTGCACCAGGCAGCCTGACCACAGAACCTGCATCTGGGCCTGGCCCAGCCTCCCAGCAAGGGCTCAATTCTTTTCCATTCATCAGTGGCACCTCTGCTGGTCCCGGGGACAGGACAGTGCATGCGACAGACAAGTGTCCACTCTTGAAGCAGACACTCTGGCAACTGTAAATTAGACTCTCTTCGTGGGTTTGGATGGAGGTTGCCTTGCGGTTCATGAATTCACTCAGTGAATGTTGGTGAAGACCCGCTGGGGCCCTGGGCTTGCTGGTTTGCACCCATTTCCCAGGTGATGGAAGTATCTAGGCCTTGGTGTGGACCTTTCCTGCGTTATATCCTAGCCACAGATCAGCGAGCCTCCCTGAGCCTGTTTTCTGTCTATAAAATGAGGTGATAACAGACTCTCACAGGCCTAAGCCATAAGGAGCTGTAGTTCAAGGTGATGCAAGGAGCCAAGCCCCACAGGGATCCCCAGAGCTGTCAGGGCTGGGGGACTGACTGTCACCCCTGCAGACTCCACTGAGGACCGTGGGGCTGCCTTCTTGAGGAATCAACCTGCAGCTCTCTCACATGCAGGACGCAGGGCAACTCCCCACCAAGCTGGAGCACAGGGACAGCTGGGGAGCGTTCAACAGCCTCCTTAGCGGTGGCCCAGGCCCAGAATCAAACCTTAGCCGCTGGAATCAAACCTCAGCCGCTGCCCAGCTCAGCTAATCCTCAGAAGCCAAGACTCAGGGATGGAAGGCAGGGTTTTGAAGTCTTAGCTTTAGATCCTCTCCGCAGTGCTGCGGGTGTGTGTGTGTTTTGATCTGCCAGGCAGATGTCCAAACAGACAAAGCCATCTTTTCCTCCTCCGAGGTGAGCGGAGCTTCAGAAGAGCTAGGAGTCGGGAGGGGGCAGGGGTGCTGTGCCCTGCAAAAGACCACAGCTCACGCGCGCGCGCTCCTCTCCTTTGTTTTGCAGGGAACTTCAAAGGCCTGTGCAAGCAAATCGATCACTTCCCAGAGGATGCAGATTACGAAGCTGACACAGCAGAATATTTCCTCCGTGAGTCACACAATCGCTTACTGTCTCTCCAGGTGGTGGGTCCTGTGCTTGGCTCCTTCGGAGAGCCTATGATCAGGCCCCCTGGAGGGCCGGGTCTCTGCAAAGCAAGGAAAAGCTGGGCCTCGCTCCTTCCTTACCTCCTCCTTGGAGAGTGATGCTTCACGCGTGGTGTTCCCTCTGCCTGCAACACAGTTGCCACCTCTCCTTTGTCCAGCAAACTCCTATGCAACCTCCAGGTCTTAACTAAAGCATCACGTCCTCCAGGAAGCCCCCTGCCCCCTGCCCCCTGCACAGGTTCCCAGAGCACAGCTCTTTCCCATTCTGTGGGGTTCTGTCTGTCGAACTGGACCCTTCCTCCTTCTTGTCTATTCTAGTCCCAGCCCATCACAAGTATTTTTTAAATACATAAGGGAGAAATCCCACCAGCCAGTAACCAGAGCTTGGAACTTCCACTGGGGGGAAAAAAAACAGAAAGAGGGTTTTTTTATTATTACTATTTTCTTTTCCCACAAGTCAAATCAAAGTTAAATCCCGATGTAACAGCTGTGATCTTAAATCCACCTGAGACATATTATCAAGAGACAGCATTCTGAGGCCCCAGAGGAATTTCTCAAGCGTCAGCAAAAACTAACAAGGCTCCCTGCTCCCCAAGAAAGAGATTTCCCGGAGAGAGGCTGAGAGTCCTTGAGGCCTGAGCCCACGGAGCTGAAGGCTCTCAGGTTGGTGCGGCCTCTGTGGCTGGCTCGGGCCTCTGCTCCCCGAGGCCCCCCTCCGCCTCTCCCCCACGCAGAGTGGTTAGCGTCACCCTCGGATCGCTTTTATGAAAAATGTAGGAGGCGTTTTATTATATGGATTGCCCCTGTCTCTTTCAATAATTACTCCTCACATCAAAGCTAGAGTTCAGGTCAGCCTGGAATCTGGTTTCATTGAGAAACCCATGGAACATAAAGGCAGTCGGGAAACTGGAGAGAGAGAGGAAAGGAGCCATTTATATTTTTTTTTTTTTTGAAAGGGAAACAGTATCATACCATGCTTGTCATTTCCTTTCCCAAGACGTTGCTCTTAAATGGGATTCCCACAGGGACACGGGCTTGTCACTGTTACTGTGATTGGACCTCTCCCCAAGCCCCATCTCAGTACAGGAGACCAGCAGTGCGGTAGACATAAGTTGAGCACCTGCTGTATACAAAATCTTGTGCTCGGTGCTGGGGAGGTCAAGCGAGACAGCCCCTGGCCCCGGAGGGCACACCTGATCAGTGGGGTAGAGAAGAGGTATCGGGGGACAGCTGGACTTGGGAGATGAGGAGGAAGGCAGTGGTGGAAGCTGAGCCCCCTCCTGGTGCCACATTGCTAGGCCACAGGTGTGATAGCACGGTGATGAGGTGATGCTTTACCAGCCAGGTGGTAAGCTCCCTGGGGGAAGACATGTGTCTCATTCATTGCTGTACCCAGAATACAGCAGGTGCTTAATAAATGCATTTTGTTCAATAAAGGAAAAACAGGGATCTCCAGTGGCAGTTCCTACCTGCTGTATGCCTCAGTTTCCTCCATATTAAGTAGAAGTGAGCTCACAGCACTGGGTTCTCCATAACGGCCCAAGACAACACAGCCTTGGACTTGGGTTAACCATGCAGGGCTCCCTAGGTCTGACCAGAATTGGTGAAACTCAGCAGTGTTTCTGGAGCATCCATAACCAGGGTCAGCAAACTTTTCCCGAAAAGGACAAGATAGCAAGTGTTTGGGGCCTTTCAAAATACAGTCTCCATGCCAGCTGCTCAGCTCTGCTCAAAAGCAACCCTAGAGCCCTCAGAAATGAACACACGAGGTGGTGTTCCAGCCAGACTTTCTCCACAGGAACAGGCAGTACAGCACCGACACCGCTGGCTGATCCCGATCCATAAAGTGCTAGTGGTGAGCTAGAAAACCATACCTGCGCAAAAGCTGGTCAGCAAGAGAAAGTGGAGGATGGGCACGGTTTCTCTAGAAGGACCCCCTTCCCCACCCACTTCCTGACTCGATGCCTCTGCCCACGCACCCCCCGTACCCGGAACCATCTCATCCCAGCCCTGGGAGCTTCGCTGTCGCACTGTTTCCGGTTCACGCTCGGCAGCCCCTTGTGGCCATGAGGTGCTAGAAGGCAGAACTCTGCCCCGAGCTTTTCTGCACCCCAGTCCCCGAGCCCAGGGCTCACCCCAGAACTGGAGCCCAGCAGAGTCCCACTTTGTTGACCGAGCAAGGAAGTAACTGGGTGGGTGATAAAATGACTAAGCAAGTCACGCATGATCAGATGCCAAGAAGAGTTACGCCTGCACCAGGTGCAAGCGGAAGAGCGCCCAGGGTGGGCAAGGTGGGCGGAGCTACTCCCGGGGCGTGTCTTTGATGGAGGTGGGAGGGGCTTTCTCTGGGTGGGCGGGGCTAGCCTCTGCTGCATTCAAGTCTATCACACCCACCTGTGCATCTCACCTGTCGTACCACCCCCATCCCTGAGAGCGAACCATCTGCAGATAGAGCCATTGGACTGTTTTGTGGCACACAAGGTTAGGAGATTTGGGCTCCAAAAGCATCATTCATTCATTCCTTTCCTTCATTCGACCCAGAAATACCCTATACCTACCGTGCAGTCGTAAATAGGGAGTCGTCTGGGTGTCTATTCTGGCTGGTTGCTTCTCCAGGGAAACCCTGTTCTTTGGTTGCCCGTTCTTGCTCTTGGGTGGTGCAAGGGTCCCTGGAAAGGTGTCCACTCCAGGTGTAATCAGGCGCCTCTCTTGTGGGGGTAAGGGGTGCCTGGAGCAGGCAGTCGTAAATAGGGAGACTGTCGTGAAGATTGACTCCGGCGGCAGAAACAAGCAATGAGCAAATGCGCCCCTCTCCACCCCTGCCCTCTATCCCCGTGGGGGGGGGGGCTCAGAGTTCTGGAAGGGGGTGGGGAGTAGACAGTGACAGGGTAGGGGACAAGGTAAGAGCAAATGCCTTCAGTAGGAAGACGAGGGTGTGTTTTGGGGGGCAGAGACGAGGCCTGTCTGTCTGGCAATGTGCTCTCCAGACACAGCAGCGGGGAAGGTGACCCCGCTTGGGGTCACCCCCTCCCTGTGGCTCACCGGCAGGACTGAGGAGCAGGGCATGGAAGAGAAGGGACCCGGGGTCTGGCTGGATGGGACAGGCATCCGGAGTGGCCCCTGGGCTGAAGGCAGCAGGCTCGTCCCTGCAGCCCAGGCTCCAGCAGTGTCTGCACCACCTGGAGGGCCAGCAGGAGGACGGCCCTCCACTAACAATTGGAGGATAAATGAACGAGTGAATGGGTGAATGAATGAATGAACAGATGCTCCTGTTCCCCAGCCTCTGAGTGTTTGAGGAGCCCACAGCTTGTCCTCACTCCCGGAACCCCAGTTTTCTCACAATGCAGTGGCCATGATCAGTGACTGAGGGTGATACCTGATCTGCTGTCACTACCCTGGGTCACTGTGGCAGGCAGGCTGGTGTGGATGGTGACCACAGTGTGTCCCCACCTAGCACTGGGGCCACAGGACAGGCCTGCTGTAGTGGCTTCTGTCCCCACCCTCACAGCAAATGAGGACCACGGCAAGGTGTGGCGGCAATGACAGGCGTGTCCCCTGTGAAGTTGTGCGTCAGTGCCTGAGTCGGCACTGTGCCCTGTGTTTCCTGGTACCTATGTGCCACACAGCTCAGTGTCTGTGTCTGAGTGTTTGCACAGGAGGGCTGGGGGGGTCCCCTGCATGTCCTGTGTGTCTCCGCTGTGTGTAAGGGAGGGGAACTCCTGTGCCTTAACTGTCACAGCAGAGTCAGAAGCAGGAAAATAAGTTGGAAGAATTGGGTTCCCTTCTGAAGTCAGGTACTGCACTCCTGCCACGTGCTAGACCCCAAACCCACAGTGTCCTGCCACTCTAACCACGACTTCTGCTGGGGCAGGGGAAGAGACTGCCGCCCACACACGCGCGCGCACACACATGCAGGCCACACTTTCCCAGGATAAGAACTGAACAGAAAGGGAGAGGGGGAGAGGGCTCCAGGCACCCCTTACCCCCACAAGAGAGGCGCCTGATTACACCTGGAGTGGACACCTTTCCAGGGACCCTTGAACCACCCAAGAGCAAGAATGGGCAACCAAAGAACAGGGTTTCCCCGGAGAAGCAACCAGCCAGAATAGACACCCATCAGGGCGGGCAGGAGCAGCAAGAGGCAGGGGGTCCATGGGGGGCGCTTATCACAGGGATTCGTTTACCACCAGTGGGAGGCTGCAGGGATTCAAACCCAGCTCTGCCCCTTCCCAGCTGACCTCCATGGGCCTCAGTTTCCCCGCAATGAGTCAATGTCCACCGAGATCTTTCCTTAGTCATCCTGAGGATGGAGTGAGTTGGGCACAGGCAGCTCCTCACAAGGGCCGTGAGAACCTCAAGCCTCTGCCCGCATCAGCCTCTGCTGCTGCTGAGCAGTGAGCGGTGTGGAAGGAGGAGGTGCAAGGGGTTAAGAGTGGGGTGGGAGGCAGCAGGAAGACGAGGCTGCGAGGCTGCGTGCTGTGCTGTACGGCAGGAGGCCAGGGGGCCTCAGAGCAGCGGTGTGGCCGTGGCGGTGGCTGCAGCTTTGGGAGAACACGCCAGAGCAGGGGAAAGCAGTGCCGACACCTGAGCCCGGCAGGCTGGGGCAGGGAGCCAGGCCGCAGGCCTCAGCTTTCTTCCGAGACGGGAAGCCCTGCAGGGATGGAACCCGGGCCTTTGGGGCAAGAGCTCAACCATTCTGTGACATCCCTGTCCCTAAAGGCCACCACTGTTGACTTCTTTGATTTCACCTTCTTCCACCATCAAATTTCTCCTGTTTTTCAGTGCATTGTTTCCCACTCCTCTTCCTCCTCCTCCTCTTCTTTTCCTCTCTTTCTCTCTCTCTCTGTCTCTCTCTCTCACTCTCTCTCATCTCGTGCTCCCTGCATTTCCAAGGTCATCAGCTACACCACCCAGCGCAGCACGGAAGGTGAAGATGAATGGAGA